TGGAGGGCATGGGACTGATGTGAGCTCAGGCTGGGTTGGGGGGCGTGGGACAGGGTAAGGTATAAAGAGTGGAGATGACCTTTTCAGAGGAGGTAGGGTGGGAGGTGTCCTGCTTGGTCCTTGAGAAGCTACTTCAAGGCACAAGAGGGAAGAAGAGTGAGCGTGCATGTGCTGGGTAGGATAACTGGGAATGTCATTTTAAAGGACAGCTTTGTTTGCTTCAGGAAGATGAGAGGTGGTGTGAAGTCAGTCGACCTGGGTTCTGGTCCTGACAACCCCCTTCTTCCTTTCTGCGTGGCAGTGACCCCTGTGTAAAAGGAGGGCAGGATATTTCTCTTAAAAACATTTGCCAGTGAGTCAGCTCTGCCTCGTGGTGACTCGACAGGCATTGGGAGAGCACTCTGCTCCACAGGATTTTCAGTGGCTGCCTTTTGGGAAGCAACCTGCAGGGCCTCCTCAGGTGTGCCAGGGTGGACTTGAACCGCCAACCTTTCCATTGGCGGCCAAATGTGTTAACTGTTTGCACCAACACCAGGGATTCCTGTTTCTCTCCAAGTCCCACCTCCGAACCTTCTGAGAGGAGCCTTAGTGGCACAGTGGGTAAGTGCTCAGACACTGACTGAGAGGTCAGTGGTTGGAGCCTCCCAGTGACTCTACATGAGGAAAGCCCCGCTGATCTGCTTGCTTAGAGATTACCTCCTAGAAAGCCTCCCGAGGCTCAGCAGGAAGCATTGTCCATGGTCAGAAAACACCCTTCTCTGAGGGCCTCTTCTCTGGTGGGCCAATAGGAGCAGCTGGATATCCAGGGGAGAGACATTTCCTCAGAAACGTCTACGCCCCAGAATCTTTGGGGTGCCCGTGGGAGAACTTAGCACTCCTACGGGACTGTCTAAAAGCAGGAACACGGGAGAGCATGACGTAGCAATTTGCTGTGGGGAGAGAAAGGCAATGAGCAGGGGTGGGGAAGATCAGTTTCTCAATGATGAACCTGGTATAGCTGGAGATCGTGGGGATTATTGGCTTGGGAGCAAGCAGGCCCAGAGGGAGGCCCTGGGGTCTGGAGATGGGACGAGAGTTTTGGGCGACTCGAGTGCCCTCCTCACCGTCCCATCTATGAAAGTCAATATTCAAGGGCAAAGGCAAGCTGCCCTGACACACGCATATATAAAACATAAATCTCTCAATTATCTCAGCTCATTTGCTTGAGGTCTCTCATTTTATGTCCCTGCTCGGCTGCGCAGTATATCTGTCCGGATAAAGAGTTACAGTCCGTTGGGCTACGTGTGCAGGGTTGTAAAAAATACAGATGCCAAATTAACTGACTGTGGCACTCGGCAGCTGATTGAGCTGATAATGACGCGATCTGACCTTTTTCTAATTTCTAATTATGTGCATCTCGGCTGAGCTGGCGACATGATTCTTGTTCTAATGATGGCTCTTGTGGTTGGTCTCTTCATTTCACCTCCCTTCACAGGACCAGGAATGGGGGTTGGCAAAGGGTGCTGCTGGACTCCCCGGAAAAGTGTCCATATTCATCACATCCAGACTCTCACATGAGCCAGACGGTGAAGGCAGAAAGCTTAGTGATGCTATCTGGCCTTCCAGATGCTGGGAATTAGTTAAGGCTATTTCCACCAGCCATGTCATGTACTGTTTTTTACATTCACATGAGATTTTCAGATGAGGAAACTGAACCCCGAAGGGCTTATGCCATCAAAGTCACATAGGGAGTGAATGTAGAGATCTTTTGTCTCTACATTTAATTGGTTGATCAATCAATGAGTTACTGACTCCATGGCTCAGCCCAAATCAGCTCAGTAGATAGGATGCACACAAGAGGATGGGATGTCCATTCTACCAGCTACCACTCCCACCCAGCTCAGCCCCTGAAGTAGAAGAGCAGGAATATCAGAAGTCTGCACCTTTGGGCACCTAGATGATCTCCACGTCCCCAGGCAAGCTTGGCACATAAGATAACCAAGCTGTGTGGACTGACAGAGGAAATCAGATTCTTTGAGGCAAAGAGAACCTTAGGAGCTCTAGTGGTCAGCATGGAGCTGGTCTCATGTGGGCATTTTCCAGGAGCTCCGGTGGCCTACTGGCAAGAAGTTGCACTGCAGTTCCGAAGGTACCTGGTTTGAGGCCACTCGCTGCTCCGTGGGAGAAGGATGGGCAATCTCCTCTTGTGCAACAAACTACCTCTGAAAACCCGCTGGGGGTCAGCTATGGGCAGTTCCGACTCTACGGTACACAACCACAACACTGTAATAGGTCCTTCACAGTTTACCTGGCAGGTGGTGGAAGGTGAAGGAAAAGACTGTGTTCCCAGGGTCCTTCCTCTTTTGACAAGTCCTAGATGGCACAAATAGTTAAGCTCTGGACTATTAACCAAAGGTTGGTGGTTCAAACCTACCCACTGGCACCTCAGAGGTAAGGCCTGACGCTTTCAAAGGCTCACAGCCTTGACAACCCTGTAGTGTGGTTCTCCTCTGCATACGCTGGTTTGCCTTGAGTCAGAACCGATGTGACCAACAGCAACAATACACTGCCCTTAGAGGTTTCAATTCTTTCTCCCTATACAGTCTTATTTAAGGCATTTCCAAATTAGTCCAGGCTTCAGTTTCTTATAAGAGAGGAACGGGCCATGGGCATGGATTCTGCCCCCCTGCTTTACACCTGGATTCTTTTTTTTTTTTTTACACCTGGATTCTATCATTCAAATTGCCCCCAAAGCAGGGCAAAGGCAGACTTGTGGGTAAGCTTTCCCCTGGGATGGGGTAGGGGAGCAGCCAAGGCTTGAGGGACAGTGGCCTGGCTCCCTGGGAAGTGAGGCTGCCCAGGGCTTGGAGGGAAGTAGGAAGGAAGAGGGAGAGGTGAGGGAGGAGCAGAGGGATGGGCTCTCAGCTGCTCTGCCACTGCTTATCCTCTGGTCAAGTCTGGCTCTCACCCCGGATGCCAGGTCCACTAACACGTCACCAATTTCCAGATCATCCAGGCACTTTCAGTAGCTCTTCCGCGTTCCATAACGCACCACATTCAACTCTGAGAGACACAGCGCGGTAGATAATCACAACCAAGATTAATATCCAAATCACTTTCATCTGCTTGACAGGTGTGCTCTGTGAGTGTGTGTGTACTTTCTCATCTCTCCTTGCTGGAAACACGTTTGTTTTTCTAATTATATTTTCCTTTGGGAGGCAGGTATGGACTAAACTCTAGAGGTAAGGGGTCAACACCATAATCAGTGTGTTTGTGATTGTGGGAATTTTTGCCATTTCTGAATTCACTGTGCATAATTTGAATAATATGCCACAGAAAAGTAAGAATGTGGTTTCGATTCCAGGGCAGCTTTTTACAGTTTGAGGACCTTTTTGTTTTAAGGTAGAAGTAAAGATAGTTCATTAAAAAAGACACATTTCAGATAGAGAGAAAGAGAAAGAGAGAGAGAGACTGTGATGGGTGAGTCTCCAGAACTGGAGAAAAACAGCAGGCCTTTGTCACTCTTCCTCAGTAGATATTCCAGAGGTAAGAGTTCAGCTGTCATCTGTTCAGTGGGAACCAAGTCTAACTGGTCATGGAAATGGACCTGGAAATGTTAAGAAATGCAGATTCACAGGCCCCACCTCATTTGGTTCTTTCAATCAATTGCTATGCATCTGAGAGATGGACAATGAATAAGGATGACAGAAAAATTGATGCCTTTGGGCTGCGGTGTTGCAGAAGAGCCCTGAATATCCCATGGATAGCCAAAAGAACAGACAGATGTATCCTGGAGAAGAAGGTACAGTCGGGTTGTTCCTTGGAGGCAAGGATGGTGAAGTTTCATCTTATCTACTTTGGTATGTAGCAATTCCTTGGAGAAGGACATCTTGCTTGGAAAGGTGGAAGGACAGTGAAGGAGAGGAAGACCTTCATCTAGGTAGACTGATTACGGAGTCTACAGCAATGAGCTCAAGTGTGTAAGAGATTGTGAAGATGGCACAGGATAGGGCAGGGCTCAGGTCGGTTGTTCAAAAGGTTGTACTCACCTGATGAACAACAACAGTTTCTATATCAGGGAGCTCTGGTGGCCTAGGGGGTAAGGAGTTGCACTGCCAACATCAAGGCATATGGTTTTAATAGACCAGCTGCTCGCGGGAGGAAGATGGGCAATCTCCTCCCCCTATGGCTTACAGCCTCTGAAAACCCACTAGAGAATAAGCTACAAGTTGGTTTCGACTCCAGGGCAATGAGCTGAACTTTTAAAGTCAGAGTGGTGGATCCACATGTACTTTTTAAATCTGAAGTGATGGTCTGGATGCCAAACTAGGCTTAGGACCCTGATTCCGCCATGACCCCCTAAATCAACAGGACCTGCCTAGTTGTCTTCTGCAGATGGCTGCATCTCCAGGTCTTACTCTGGTGGTGAGTTGGAATATGCTACCCTGCATGTCACCCTGCAGCAGGCCAGACTTTAACTCCTGTCCTGGCAACCAAAGGCAGGCAACTGCCTGATGTGTCAGAAAACCAGCCCAAGCCACAGCCGCCCCAGACATTCTGGCTGGTAGTGCCCTACTCTTCTCTAAGGAGCCATGGTGGCACAGGAGTGCTGCCAACCAAGAGGCTGGCATTTTGAACTCACTGGACCTTCCATGGGAGAAAGAAGGCAGCAGTTGGCTTCCACAGATTCCAGCCTCGGCACCTCTAGGGGGAGTTCTACCCCACCTGAAGGGCTGCTGTGACTTGGAACCAACTTGCTGGCAACAAGTTTGCCTCCACTCTCCTGCAAGGGGGTGAGTAGTGAGAGGCCTGTGCCACATGGGGAGAGCGAGAACTTAGGCAGCAAACCTCTGCATGGAGCTCTGGTTCTAAGGAACCTACATCTAGTTCTCAGCTTCTGGAACAATGCCTCTAATGCCTGCCACGTAGTGCTGGCTCCCCAGTTTCTCCAATGAATTAATTAAAGAAGCATTTCTAAGGACTTAGGAAAGGATTAGAGGGGAGAAAGCCCCGGTCTTTACCAGATTGTCCAGTTCTGGGTCATCACTGAAGAAGGGTTTGTGCTCCTGCTCCTGCTGGTGGACAAAGTTCTCGATGTCCACATCGAAGCTGGCTGAGGTGATGCACTCAGAGCCCTGGGTGGCCTGTTCACACTTCTCGAACAGCAGCGTCAGGAGCGGGAAAAGAGGGTGCCTGTGGGGAACACAAAGAGCTCACACATGTGTACACACAAAGACCATACTTCCGCTAGGCTGCAGGGGGCCAGGGTTGCTCCTGTCACCACTGCCAGCCTGCACGGCGGCAACTCATGGGCACCCCAGGCTCCTGGTTCCTAGGGCGTTGGCACGCTTCTATTCCTCTTCTGGAGCTGACACACTACATGGATATAGTGAGAGATGGTGGGTGACAACCCTTTAAAGAAGCAGGTGCTCCAGGTGAACCTGGTGGGAAGTGTCCAGAAGAGTGGTGAACATGCTGCCAGAGGGAGGTTACAGCACCGCTACCGACCAGCGCCATGTGAGCGCAGCACAGACGTAATCCTGTGTGCTCACACAGCGCAAGCAGGAATGTGTGCGTGGGTGTGCGGCCAGAAGGCTTGTCCACACGGGGTGGACAAAGGTCTCCATGCCAGTCCCCCCTATTACAAATGTTAACAGATTCTCACAACTTTCGATCAGCACACACTCAGCACAAAGGTAACGAAATAATGATTTGCTGACTGGTATCTTCACTGTCTTCCTCATAGAGGATCCCTGTCTTAGTGATCACTGCATCCCTCTGGCCTTGCCCGGGCTTGCTCATAGCAGAACTTAATAAATAGATGGCGAATGACTGGGTGAGGCAATGAATGGAAGGGTACGTGAGTGTGGGGTACATGTGGTTTTATCACGTATCAACATGTTTACAACTAACGTGCTTACCTGACTAGCTTCATTGGTCTTATCTCAGACCTCAACAATTCAGGCTTCTACCCTAATATGCCAAATCTATGCTTGGAGCACCCTAAGCTGCTTGCTTCATCATCTACTTTCATCACAGACTGTGAGCTACAGAAGCCAGGAATCAAGCCCACTTTATTCATCCCTACATGTCCAGAGTCTAGCAGAACATATTTTGAGTACATACATGTTACCCATGCATGTGCTACGTGCAGGTATGAAGGCATAGCACATTTGTTGCCATAGCATGTGTGAGCAACGATCTCCAAGTTCAGCATGTGTGCATGTATATGCATGGGCTCTTGACCCAGGACTCTGAAGAGCTCCTCTGCTGCCCGACGCTCCTGTGCATCTCTGCTCTCCTTCCTCACGCCTCTGGGACCACCAAATCCAGCTCCCTTCTTTGTGGGCTGTTGTTGTTGGACACTGTCAAGTCAAAACTGACCCATAGCTGATCCTCCAGTAGGTTTTCAGAGGCAGTTAGTTATATGGGAGATTTCTCATCTTTCTTCCATGGAGCAGTTGGTGGATTTGAACATACCTCTGCACTGGCAGTGCAATTCCTTACCACTAGCCCACAAGGGCTACAGTGGGTCAGCTCTTTGTGCCTTAGCCCTGCTTTTTGGGAGAAGAAGAGGAGGAATCTGTGTTGAGTCTCGGCCTCAAGCCTCTGCCAAATGCTATGCCCCAGCAAGCATTGTCCAACAGAGCTTCTTCTCCAATGGCAGGAGTGCCCTATAATTCACACTGCCTTGTATGTTAGCCACTCACCATATCTGATCATTAGAACTTAAAATATGGCTGCTGTGACTAGGTGATGGAATTTTACATTTTGTTTCATCTTAATTAACTTAAATAGCCTCGTGTGGCTAATGGCTACCATGCTGGACACTGCAGTAAATCCTGAACAGGACAAGGCATCATGCGTTTCGCTCCTGTCACTGTGAGTGAACACGCCTAAAGGACTGAGCACCTAGTCAGCGTGTGCATGTACGTGAGCGGGATGGCCCTTAACAACCTGTTTCACTTTGAAATTCTAATAATTTTGGCCCAAAAGACAGAAAACATCTTTTCCTGTCCACCTTCCACCCATATCTTTAGTTGTTAGGTGCTGTGACACACAGCAACCCTATGAACCCTGGCCTGGCTTTTGCCCTCTGTGTTCTCTCTGCCATGTCAGGCCCACGTTTCAGGGTACCACAAATGGTTCATACTTTGTGGCCTAGTGGTAAGGAACCACACTGCCATTTCAGAGGCACATGGTTCAAATCTGCCAGCTGCTCCATGGAAGAAAGATGGGCAATCAACTCCTGTCATTTACTGCCTTTGTTAAACCTGCTGGAGAGTCAGATAAGGGTTGGTCCCAACTTCATGGTACACGACAATAACGAACCAAAAGATTAGTGGTTCAGTCCTGCCAGTGACATTATGCTCTGACAGTCTGATTTTGTAAGGATTACCACCAATAAAACCTTTCAGAACAGCTGGGTTTTGTTAAACAAGGGGTTCCACAAGTTGGCATTGACTTGGAGAAACAGATTTTTTAAATTATCTTTTAAAAAAATTTTATATTGGTTTGCATACAAAATTTATACACATTCTGTTTCTTTCACATACACTGTTTGACAATCTTTCAGTCACATTGTGTTTCATAAAATCACATCTATATATCTCTATATATTTTTATAAAATGAATTACTATTGATCTATGCCTATTTTTACCCCATCTTTTCAAGTCCCCATTAGATATTTCCTATCCCGTCATTGCTCCTTCTGCCCACTAACCTCTGCTATCCCAGTGATTTTCCCCATTGCCTATTTTACACCCCCTCTCTCCAATTCCCCCAATCAGTGTTGGAGAGGATGTGGAAAGATTGGTGGGATTGTAAAATGGTACAATCACTCTGGAAGGCAGTTTGGCATTTCCTCAAAAAGCTGAACACAGAAATCCCATATGTCCCAACTATTCCACTGTTAGGAATATACCCAAGGAAAATAGAATTGTTATACAAATGGAGATTGGCACACTTTTTTTTCCACAGCAGCATTATTTACAATAGCAAGAAAATGGAAATAACCCAAATGACCATCAAGAAATGGTCTGGACTGAGAAATTGTGGTACATTCATACTACAGAATACTATGTAGCACCTAGGAAAAAAGATTCTGTTAAATATTATATAACAAGGAAAATAGATTTTTGTTTTAAAAATCAAACTCAAGGGCAGTGGCAGGTAAACTCAATCCCCAAACCGAAGCCAGTGTCATCAAGTTGATTTCCTTCTTAGTGACCCTAGGGAGCTCTAGTGGCTTAGTGGCTAGAAGCTGTGCTGCAAACCTGAAGGCATGTAGTTCGAATCCACCAGCTGCTCCATGGGAGAAGGATGGGCCATCTCTTCTCATGCAATTAACTGCCTCTGAAAACCTGCTGGGGGGTCAGCTTTGGGATCCAATTCAATGGTATACAACATTCATAGTGACCCTTACAGGACAGAGAAGAACTGCCTCAGAAGGTCCTGAAGACCATAAATATTTATGGAAACAGATTGTCACATCTTTTCTCCTGGGGAGTAGCTGGGGAGTCTGAACTATCTACCCTGTGCCATAAGGTGGATAAGAGACAACAGATTCCAGCTTCAGATGAGCTGTGTGGCATGTCAGCATCCTGCTCTGGCCAGCATCTCCCCAAGCTTTGCTTTGAGATCTGATACACAATGAGTTAGGCTCCAAGGCTGTAAGCTGGGTGCTGGCCCATCTGCAGCACCAAATTGCTAGAAGATTTATTCAGACCCAGCAGGAAGCTGGTAGGAAAAGCAATAGGTTAGGTTAGCCAGCTGGCTGAAGACAAAGCGAAAACCAGGTGAAGGGGTTAAACTCCAGTATAAGTCTTCATTTGCAGCCACTAATACCACAGCATATTATAGTCTAATCTAACCTGATCCCAGTTTAATGCAAGATTCTCCTGGCCCTGAGTGGAATACCAAAGCAAGCCTCAGTGGCTGTAATTTAAGCAGAGCACTGCAGTGGTTTAGCTGAGGGACATGAAAGGCAAATTCCAGACGGTGTTATGAATTATTGCGCCTTATGAACCTTCCTACTCTCAACAGATGCCTGCTGCCATTTAAACAGCCACTAGATCAATTAGGAATGAAAGGCACAAATCGACTCTGTACAAGGGCACTAAATTACCAGGAACTAATAATCTGCAGCATCGTGCCAGGTGGTGGGAATGCAGCCCCGAGCCCCAGCTCTGTGGCAGCCACGCGGTCATCGCACAATCCTTTCCCCCAGTTTGCAGGGGAACCGGCAGCTGCAGAATGAAGAGAGATGGTCTGTGTGTGTGCATGTGTGTGCATGCCTGTGCACCATGGCTGAGTGTAAGCTATCAAGGAGAACATGTGTGTGTGTGTGTGTGCGCGCGCATGTGCGTGTGTGTGCATGCTGCCCAGGATGCTGGCATTGTGTGTGCATGTCTGCATTCATGGGTTGTGTGCACGCAATCTGGGTGCAGATTTTGTGAGCTGTGAATACGTGTATGTGCTTTAAATTGTATGCAATGTATGTTCATGTGCTATATCATTTGTTTGTGTAAACTGAGTGCTCCGTGTACACAGTACGAGTGGTGTGTGGGCTGGGGAAAAGGGACCTACTAGGCTTGAATTCCCCAGCTATGATTACTAGTTCCAAGCTCATCTCCCCCACTAGTCTCCTTGACCTGCAACGATGGAAAACTTTAGTCAGGGAGGGCCTCTCTGAGGAGGTGACATTTAAGCTAAGCCTCAAATGATGAGGAAGAAGTCTTGGTGAGATGGGAAGTAAAGCAAGGTGTTCTGAGCAGGAGAAAGCTAGAGCATAGTACTTGAGACAGGAATGGGCTTGACACACGTCAGACACAAAATCCAGAGGGTGTGGGTTGAGTGAGGTGGACAGGTGGGCAGGAGAGTGGAAGAAGGCAGGAGCACATCAGGAGGCCCCTTGTAGGTCTTAGACAAGCTGGGCTTGCACCGTGGTGTGGCAGTGTTTTCTACTGGAGGAGACATGCACCTCCCGGAAGAGCCACTCAGCATGCATCTGCTTGATAAGATTTTTCAGTCCCAAGAGTCAGATCTCTCCAGAATGGAGGTGATGGACATCTCTAGGGGTGTTTTCTGCTATCTCTCATGAGGGGTAGCAAAAAACCAAACAAGTTAGTCTTAGGGGAAGTGCAACCGGAGTGCTCCTCAGAGGCAAAGATGGTGCAATTTCACGTCACAT